TAAGGAACATGTGCCGTTCTGGTGCTCTCGGCCCAAAATGCTATTTATAGTCTCTTGGGATCATGCTGGTATACTTACAGACTCCATAATACATTAGAAACCAAAACATTTCATTCATCTTTGCTTCATCCTCCAGCTGCCTTCTCCAGAAAAATAAAAGGAAGGAAAACAAGAGTATCTTAGTGAAAAAGACATTAAGAAATTGAACATCCTTCTATGCAGATTCCTTACAGACTGAAAGCATTTTCCTATCTGCTTCTCAGATTGCATAATTTTGTTTTTCTATTTTGCTTAAGGAGTTTACAGTTCAATCCTGAAAGGGTTTGTTGTGGGCTTGACTCGTCACCAGAGTTTTCACATTTACAATACAAAGTTATTGATTATCTCAGTTCTTAACATGCTGATAACTAATCACACAATAGATTAGTAGGCACTTACCACTGAAATTATTGCCACATTGAGCTCCTGAAGGAAAAATGCGACATTAATCTAACAAATAAATATTGCTTCTTAGTACAGATATAAGCAAGAGGTTTAGAAACATCCCTCTCTTAAAATTATGAAATTAAAAAAATATATATAGAAAGTCATTTAATCTTTTTTGAGCATAAGCATGTGAGATTCAGGATAGCAGTGAACAGCACTGTATATTAAAAGGTATTTGACATTAAAGTATTGTGTCAATGTTGTCTATTGTTATTATTTTTATTCTGTTGGTTTTGGGTGTCCTGCTAATTCTGTTTATTTTGGATGTCCAACACCCAAAGCTGCAATTATGAAATGGTTAGCTATATAAATCAATATAATAAATATATCAAGGACTGACTTTGCTTAGTGTTCTAGGTCAGTCAAAGCTGACTGTGTGGCAACTATAAAACTATAGAGGCCCCACTAATTTGAGGATAATGATCCACTATAACTCACAAAAACACTTTTTATTAAAATGTACATAAATAGATTGCAAAATATTTGAGGTAAAGTAAGTTAGGTTGTTGTGCACCTGCTTTTTACAATCAGACTTTCTGTAGGCCAGACTTTCTACAGCCTGCAAATCATCAATTGCTTTTTGTGCTCATCAGATACATATGAGAATGTCCACAAACCAGCACAGCTTTTAACTAGAATCTAGTTAAAAGAATTGTTACTTGTTCAGAGTAATCTGTGTTTCCATCTGCGCACTCCTTTCTTAACATTTTCAACATCATCTTCCTGAATGTTCCAGGATTGTGAATAAATAAACTGTGAGAAAGTAAAATAAAATTATTTTAATAATGAACCACTACAGTCTGTTGTATTGGGAATTTTGGAAGATAATTATGTTGGGAATTTAGCGTAAGCATTCCAGTTTAGCAGTGTCATTAATGGATGCTTAGGTGGTCTCTCTCTCTGTCTCTCTTTCTCTTAAACTTAGTTCCCTCTTAATAATGTGGAAGTTCCATTATTTATTTGTTGAGACTGTTGCAAGAAATGATTAAATTATAAAATACACAAAAAAAGCTTAACAGAAGAAATTAAAGTGATAGAAACCATGGAAATCTGATAATTTCTGGTTGAGGCATACAGTGAATTGGAATAAAAGGTTTCTATAACCTAAAACTCTTATATAAGAAAGAAATATTTTCATCACACTATATTATTTCCAATGGACTAAATAAATCCATTCACATATCTAATATAAATCCATTCTCAAACCTAAGCCCAAAATTTGGTATAATCAACATTAAAATACCAATTATAACTTATGAATCTTCACTCCAATATATGCTGCATATTAGTAAGTTATGCTTTTCCCCCCTTCTATTCAATTGTGCCCAATTCTCAGAGACTGTCCAGACAATTCCCTGAAGTTTTTTGGCAAGTTTTCAGAAGTGGTTTCCCATTGCTTCCTTCCTAGGGCTGAGAAAAATGACTGGCCCAAGTTTACCCAGCTAGCTTTATACCCAATGCAAGAGTGAAACTCATAGCCTCCATTTCTACGCTGGTGCCTTAACCACTACACCAACTGGCTTTCTAAATTATGCTAGTTCCACTTAAATTCCATTATATCTATTGCAGTTTATGTGAAGCAAATTGGCCTATTCTCAGCTGGCCTATCTCAGATGCAACCAGTCTATAGCTTTTCTGGATGTCATCCTTCAGCTACTTTTCTGTTTTGATTCATTTATATTTCAGCAAAACTAACCAGTTCAGAATAAAGTCCTTTTCCCTTGTCAGAAGAGCAGCTGCAAAATGAGGCCCAGGGAAAGGTGAATTTTTCCCAGTGTTGGATGAAACCGACCATAAACCATTCCTCTTTACATTCTGGTATAAAATAGAAAATGTGTGAAAATAAGCCATTTTGCAGTGTGCAAAAACTGTCTGGAAAAAAAAGGAACGATGACTAAAAATTGCACGTCTGAGCCGACACATTTTATGGCAGATGACATTGAAAGGAAGAAAAATTAAACGGCAAATGTAAAGCTAGTTTTCTGCATAATTTTGAAGTATCTAATAAATGATTTAAAACTGTGTTGCTGTTTTCATCAAAATTTGAGGATAGATTCCACAGTGCCTTCAATAGCACCAGCCAAAATCTGCCTCAAATGAAGGAACAAGAATTCATTCTGGGAGGAAGATAAATTTAGGAAGGAGGAGGACTCCAGAGATAGATCTTACATATAAAAAAAGTAATGGAAATTAATGCTCCCAAGATTAGTCTCCTTACCTGTTTGAAGAATTCATTTCTTCATTACTGCCATGACAGATCTTAAACTCAATAAAATCTCCTTTATGGAAGTTTTCAAGAAAATAATGTCTGTCTGATTGGGTGAGATGCTATCTGTACGTGCATGTTTAAGGGAGGGGATGTTCAATTCCTTACTTATTTTATAATCTTTCTAGGCAGATTTAGATCTCATCACATAACCATTTCACAGGAAGAATCTGAGTCATTCCAACTAAATCCAGACTTTTTCTAGTCTAAAGTTCCTTGAAAAAAAAAAACCAGATTGCTTAAAATGATAACAAATGCATTTCATTCTGAGTCTTTCCAATACACTCAATGGGAAAAAACATTCTGACTGCCAAGTCTGCTTTCTTACAGTAGGTATGGTTGTGCAAGTTGTTAAAAGGTTGGACATTCAACTTTTTAAGAGAAACCTTTCTCCTTATGGCATTCAGGTTGGAAGGGCAGTCATCAGGCTCCAAGATGTAGCTGCTTCTAGAGGGCAGGTGAGTTACAGAAGATGACACAGTGATGTCCGAGAAGCAGGTTAGCCGCTGTCACACGCACAGTGGGGACATAGCAGCACAATGTGCGTTAGTCAGTGGCTCACCTGCTTCTGGAGAATTAACCAAACAGGCATCCGCTTCTAGGGTACCAATGACAGGCAATCACCCTATCTCACCCCACCTCACCCTCTAACTGAGCACCTGAAATAAAAACATATATCAGCAGGATCACTGTCCTTATTAACTGTTTGTCTGCATTATTTCAGAAATTTAGACCTGATTCTAAATAATTTCAAGGGAGCTTCCTTTTCAGTCTCCTTGTCTTGTGTAACACAATAGCAAAACAACAAAACTTTCGGCCACGGCTTTCCTTTCTCCTATGGCTATGCCCTCCAGATCTGCAATTCCCCTCATTCCTCAGGACAGTATAGCTATTGGATTTGAGTCGGGGAGCATGGAATTGTAGTCTAACATAACAGGAGAGCAGAGGACTGTTTTATATTCATCCTCAGCTCTGTAAAATATAAACCCACTCTTTAAATAAATTTAGGGGACCTTCCTCTCCATCACCACTCATTCCCAAGACAAAATTGCTTGGGAAAATACTTAGGAAAATACTTTTATCTACACTACCCCAAGTGTTTCAGAAAGGCAAGAGATGCTACTGAGAGGAGTGGGGTGGGGGGGAACTGTTGCAATAAAAGTCCCCTCTCCCTCTGGAGAACAATTCACCCACTTGTCAGAGTAGTAACAAAATTCCCATTGATTTTTAGCGGAATGAATCGGATCTTTGGTCCTGCAGAGATTTCCTTCGGGGACCCAGGACATACATCCAGGGTATTCGTCCTACTACATTATAAGGCAACTTGATGCTTTTATCACTTTCAACCCCGCAGCTCAACAAGCGGTTCTCCAACATCCTCCAGGAGCAAACAGCGATCCTCTCTCTCCACGCGATCCTCAGCTCAAAGGGCGTCAAAGGCAGACCGGATAAACTTTTTCCAGCGATTAGGCAGGGCTGGTTCTTCGGGCAAAGCATCACTCACAATTTGCAATTTCAATACCCCGCGGGCAAACGCGCTACAAGCAAATCGCCACACCGAAAGTCGAAGCGCTCTTTTTTTTTTTTTTACCTGCCGGGCGAAGTCAGGTCTGTTCGTGACCTCGCTCGAACCCCACCGCCTCCCGTTCCCCGGGGACGAGCTTCTGCCGTTTTTTTTTTTTTTTTTAAATTCCTTTTGCCGAAGCTCTCCCGTTTCGGAAAGAAGGGACTTTCCCTCTAATTTGCGCCCGTTCGCCAAACGGAGACCGCGTCCGGAGTCCCACTTTCACTCTCCGCGGAGTTCTCCGAAGTACCTGAACTTCGAGGAGCGCTTGCCTGGCGCTGCCTGGTACAGCTTCGCGCTTCTCCTTCCCCAGCGCCAGCTTCCGGGATTCAAGCCTTCAGGGACCGTTTTCCCTTTCCAGCCGGAGAGGAAGAGGGCGGTGGCAAAAGCCTCTTGTTCTCTCCGCGCTCCCTAAGCCAGCCAGCCCAGCCAGCCCAGCCCGGCGCGGCTCACACACACCAACCCATGCCGACCACTGCAGCCGTGCAACCTGCTTTCCCTTTTGCTCCCCCGCCCCGCCCTAACTTCATGCAAATCGAGCTCGTGACGCGACGCTACGACTGGCCAATGGGAGCTGCGTCCGGCTACCCGGCAGTCGCGCCCTCCGCCGGTCTGGCCAATCCGAATAGATCCTCTCCGTGCCCGAGGGCCGGGCAACTCCCTCCTTCCTTTCCCTGTGAGTTACAGCGCGGGGTGCGGCGCGTTCGTTTCTGCACGTCCTTACTTTAGGGAGGAACCAACTGTACTTGCCCGGGCTTCAGTACCGCGCTCCCACACCTCCCTTCCCCTCAATGGTTGCCGCCAGCCAACCTCTTTTTTTCATTGGGGACAAGCTTTCACGCCAGGGTGAGTCTCAGGACTCCGTACGTTGCTTTTGACGCGCGTGCTTCGGCTCGCCGCCTTCTCTTCCCCTTTTTCGGGGCGGGTGGGGGGGGGGGGAGGATGCTAAATGGTACAGCCCGGCTTGGGCTTTGCCATGAGGACAGTGTCAGTGTGCACGTAGCAAGCGCAGAAGCAGCAGAAGGACGGGTCCCAAGCGGCGCGCGGTGCCGACGGGGCGGGCGCGCGCGCGCCCCTGGATGTTCCCCGGACGGCCGCCGAGGCAGCTGCTGTTTGCAGCTGGCGCGCGCTGTCCTCAAAGGCTCTTTGAGCTCCGGCGCCGAACCTTCCATGGCCCCGTTCTAAGGAAGGGGAAGAAGTAAAAGGAATCCCGCCCCGCTCTTTTTACCTCATTTGCTTTTTTTTTTTTGCTTTTTTTTTTTTTTAGGATGCGCGTGCGCGAGCGTGTGTGCGTGCAAAAAGCTCAAGGGACTTAGTTATCTTTAGTACTGGAACAGGACATTCAAGACGCTGCAAATCTTGCATGCTGCCTGGGATGGTGCACTTACTTCATGGGCACCCCACCTGAGTCTCCCACTTTACACGTTGGCGTCCCTTGTAGCTCCAAACAAAATCTTAGCTGGCCTTTATAAACCAATAACGCAGAGAAGATGCATTTAAGAACCCTGAAGAAAAGTGATCCACCAAGCAAATCCTTCTGGAACGCTTTTATTTCTCTAGGAAGCCGAAGATTAAAATATTGTTTATTCTTAATATTAAAAAGAGGCAGGATAGAGTATGTCTCCTAAAGGAGAAGAGAAGAAAAATCTTAATGAAGGCAGAAAGCAGCCCCAGTTTTCCTGCCATAGGAAAATAGCCTCAAGCAGAAGCTTAAGTGGCTGGTCTTTAGGAACCGAGATTTTGTATCCATTCAGAAAGAAGGGGCCAATTTATTCATGAGACTCCAAATAAGCAACACAATTAGGCATGACAAAGCTGACAAGATTAGCTCAGACAAACACCTGGGATTTGCATTTCCCCTTTTGCCTGTAGAGCCAACCATGACCCCTACATGACCCCCCTAGAAATCTGGCAACAGCCATTAAAATATTAAAGGACACATTTTTACATAAGAACAGGCATCTCAATCACAAAGCCCCAAATAATGTATAAAAAACTACCTATTTTCAAGTCCTATTTTGTCAGCCACCCCAGAATCATTCTGCTATCAACTAGTTTCTGGATACCAAATAAACAGAGACTTCCTTTTCTTCAGCCTGCCTCCATTTTATTTCTAGCGTCCTTCTCTCGGCTTGGAACCGGACTGGATTTTTCTTCCAACAATTTAGCACACCAGATGGGACTCCAAGCTAACCTGACCAACGGATCTGGCTCAGGTAAACCTCCACCTTGATGGCAGCAGACCCCTTGTGTCTGTGGGTTTCCCGGACCGTGCCCGTTTGGAGCAAGGGTAGTAAAGGGCTGCTTGGAAAGGAGGTGAGTACCTCTAAATTTTAACTTTTAAAGCCCAGGAGAGGAAGGGAACTGTGTGTATGCCTGTGTGTGAGTGAGAGGACCCTTCTCCCAGTCACAGCTGGATCCTGCTCCTTCCATGCCTTTCCTAGCCTTCCCCCAGGCTGTTCATCAGTCCCAAAGGACCATGATTGACAAGAGTCTGGAAAGCAAGGGGGTTTGGCTGGAGTGCAGGACCTTCTGTTAGGGAAAAGGGAGAGGCTGTGTGAAAATGGAACGGAAAAGGTGCACATACTACTGCAGGGAAGCAGAGGTGGTCCCAGAACCTTTTTTGGTCTGAAAACTGCTGGCAGGCTGTTCCCTAGGAAGGAGGGACCGTACTCTGAGAAGGGAACCAGAGTCCTCCAAGACCCTTTGTTGTTGTTTTGGTCTGAAAACCAACACAGGTGGGACAGGAAGCTTGTAAAGAAGCTTGGCTGCAAGGGAGACCTGGCAGAGCCAATTGCATCTCTACATCGGTTACAGAGAAACATGAGAAGTTCCTGCTGGAGGGTCTTGCCAGGATCCCCACTAGGAGACTTGCTCAACGCTTGGGATGAGAGGCGATGGCTGGTATGAGGAAGATATGAGCAAGGAAATTATGCAAGAGATGGACTTTGCTCAGGGACGCTTGAAAACCAATTTGGCTAAATAAAGATACTTAAAAGAAAAGAAAAATATAGTAACATTGATTTTTCTTCCCGTCTAGATTTTTGTGTTTCCTAATTTAGATTAACTAAGATTTATGGTGAGAATGACCAGGGTGTGTAAACCTGAGGGTTCTGTTTTCCCTTTCTTTTCTCTTTCCCTTGTCTTTGTGTGTGTATGTGTGTCAAAGTCTTTGTGTGCCCTCAGGGTAAATGTAACTGTTAAATGTCTCTAATCCCTAGAGACAAGAATTTAAAATTCTGTTAGGAAAAAAATGTTAAACCATAAAAAGATAAATATCTTCACCCTAGTTTGCCTGGCCAGCAAACTGTGTCCATTTTCCCCCCCTCACTGTGCCTTTAAGAACCGCCCAAAGTTGTCAGGAGGGAATGTTTTAAGCTCATTTAATTCCATTGGTTAGAGATATTTCCAAAAGAATGTAAAAAGGTGGATAATGAATATAATAGGAATGTCTGTTTGTCACAGTATGAGTTTGGTGGGAAAAGCATTATAATGGTGGTTTAATCTACCAAACCATTCTTAATTTTATTACATTCCAGAATTTATTATGTGGCATTATAGAAGAGCATCGCACATTTGTGCAAATTCAGTTAAACATAGTTGTGTACATATATATAACTTCTAGACTGATTGACTCTGTCTCATATGTAGTTTGCCACATGAAATCAACTATTCTTACATATGAACAAAAATGACAACTGGCCATGCGCTCTAGCAGTCCTTAAATAATTTGTATGATTTGTTACTTTACAATGCGGTTTTCAGAATGGAAACACTGCACCAGCATTGTGTTGCTTGCTCATGCAGAAATAATACATGGTTTTTAAATAAACATACAAATAAATAAATGTAAAATCCTTAGGAGGAATAGGATTAATATATCCAGCACTTTTACTTTGGCCCTGCTCTTGAAGAAGATCCTGCTGCATTTTTTACCTTTAACCCACCTACCCCCGTTTCCCCGAAACTAAGACCAGGTCTTATATTAATTTTTGTTCCAAAAGACACATTAGGGCTTATTTTCTGATTTGGTCTTCTTTTCAGGGAAATACTAAATGCATCCGTCTGGCTGATAATCTTAACTGGGGCTTATTTTGGGGGTAGGGCTTATATTACAAGGATCCTGAAAAATCATGCTAGGGCTTATTTTCTGGTTGGGTTTTATTTTTGGGGAAACAGGGTAGGTGCTGCCTTCCTATGGGCCTATTGCATGCAGAAACCTTTGGGGCCCAAATCCCAATTACGCTGAAGGGATTAAGATACACATATACTAGCATGGAGGAATGTGAAGATCTTTGTTGCTCTGACCCCTTCCTTCATTGCTGGATGATAATAAAAGGCATTCTGGGCCTTTCCTTCCTTGCAGTTCACATTAGCATAGGAATGTTCTGGCAACACCAGTATTCCTTTCTGAACACATGACATTGGTTTATTATCTCATTCCACACCCATGTTTTAAACAGCCTAACACAGATTCTTAATATTCAGGAAAATAACTGGTTCTTCGACATTGAGCCATATGGTTTAAACTTTATAGTGCTTCTATGCCCCTTTAGAGAGATATGATCATGTAACCAGGCATCTTTGGTCAGACTTTGGTACATTTCCTGGAAGGAGTTTAGCTTAGTTTAGCAAAATCAGGCCTGCCTCTTACCAGTAAATCAATACAAGAAAGGCTGAATTATGTTAAAATTCTTAGTGCGGAAAAGCTCCAACTCAACAATCTTGCAAAAAAGTCACTGTAAGTATTCAGACACTATATAGAAGATGCAACAGGACAATAAGCACAAAACTGAGTATGTCTTTCATATAAATACTAGAATAAACCACAAGTACATGAGGGTTTTTCTCGCTGATATACTTCCTGAGCTGGGCTAAATCAGGGTTAGGCAACTGTAGCTTATGTGATACATGAATGTTGCCATCTCCATGTTGGCTGTCCCCAGAATTATCCTAAATCCAGCCCAAAATATCCCTGGTACACCTTTGCTGGGCTAGCATCAATTTTATTTTTGTTTTATTTTGTTTATTTATTTTATCCCACTTATTTTTTTTATAAATAGCTCAAGGTAGCAAACATACCTAATACTCCTTCCTCCTCCTATTTTTCCCTACAGCAACAAACCTGTAAGGGGTTTTGGGCTTAGAGAGAGTGATTGGCCCGAAGTCACTCAGCCAGCTTTCATGCCTAAAGTGGGATTAGCACTCATGGTCTCCTGGTTTCTAGCCTAGTGCTTTAACCATTAGACCCCCGACAAAGCTTAACCTTGGAGGAGTCCGCGTGCATGAAGAAAATTCTGACTAATATTTATGTGAATAAAACCCTATGAGAACACTGATATGTTTGCAATTTGGCGTTCTCTGGATTTCAATCAGATGCAATGTTGAGATCCCTTTTAAAAATCAATAGATTAAACCTTTATTTGCCTTCATGTGACTCACTTATGTGGCTCAGAGAAAAAACCTTTATAGCCAGGCAATAAAACGGAGCACTTCATGATGGTGTTTACGTGGAAAATGTGTCTGTAGTTCTAATTATCCCAGTGTTTAGCTGTGCGTGACATACAGAGAAGAGGACACTGAGTTTGGAGTAGATTCAAATCCATTCTGTGAAGACAAAGGGTGTGATCATCCTGGTCAAAGTCAGGGATTACACATATCACTATCAAGAAATAGTCATGATTCCCACTAGAAGAAATGTAACACTGGTTCTACAGGATAGATTATTTTAGTCCATAAAAAAAACCTCACATTATTAGACAGATTGAGCAAGTTATTTAGAAAGGGTTTCCATCATTGATTTTATTTAGAAAACAAATACTTTGTCTCTTTCGAGGATCCCTATGGAAAAATGATCCAAATTTGTTAAGGTATACAAGCTTTTTCTTAGAGTAATTGATACCTCTTTCCTATCTATGTTGTAAAGTTAGAGAAGGGCAGGCATACTTATACTTACTTCTTCACTTCCAAGAAGAACAGTGGAAAAGACTTTGACATGATGAAGATACATGGAGAAGCTGAGGTAGAATTTCCCCCTCTCCAATTTCACTTTTTGGGGTTGATTAAAAGTTTTTTTTTAAAGTGTATATATATTCTTTAAAAGTTGTTAATTCTTACTCCATCTAATTACTCCGTTATCCATTAAACATAAGCAGAAAATAATTTTACTCTTGTTTAAAGGTTTTGGAACATTCAGTGGATCTAAAAAAGAGAGTTGGGGCCCACAAGGGGGCAACTATTTTGGATTTTGAGCAATGCTTGCTTTCTCTTTTTAATAATATGTGTTCCTGGCAATGTGGGTCTGAGCTTTCTATATTTTTAGGAAGTTAAATATTATAATCCTTTATTCTGGAGAGTGCATTTGTCCAAACCAGACATGTACGTGCTATGCTGATGTGCATGTCCATTTTTAGAGACTCACCAAGGCCTATGAGTAATATTTTATATTGCTGAGAATGACATTAGCTATTAACAGTTGTTGCCTTGCCTTTCATGTACCTTACTAGTATAACTTACTATAAATTATTTAAAGCATCTGGAAAAGAATAACCTAAAAACTACATTTGCTAACTAGTATAACATTCTATTCAAACAAGAAAAAGCAATCAAATATTCCACGATACCAGGGTTGCCTATATTTTAAGATTGTACATGTCTGGGATTTTGAAAAGTTTATTCAAATGAGTTGCTAAGGGAGATGTGCGGTGAATCCCAAAATATTGAGCACAGCTTAGTTTGGGCTGTCAGTCAGTCCCTCTGTCTGTTTTTTGACTTCCCTTCAAAGTATTTGCATCACCTTTGCATTTCTGAACTGCCTAATACTATATAATTTTATGGGTTATAATCTCGCACATATCATTACTTGGACTCTAAGATTATCTCCAGTGGCTCTCAACTCTGCTAACCATATGGAAGTGTTTGCCATTGTCATAATTATGAATATTTCCAATTTAAGTTCAATTTATTTCCAATTTAGATATCCCAGCCCTGGGATATCTTGGTGGTCTCCTATCAAAGGTTAATCAGGGCCAACTTCTGTTTTGCATGTTTTTTTTTCAAGGCCATCCAAAGTGAGGTAGCTGTTGCTATCTACAGAAAAGGCACAGCAGAGAGTTTATGGAATGGTCTTCCAGAGAGGCTTGTTTAGCATTTTTGGATCAAAAACTGGGAGGGATGATAAAGTGGAGTCCCCATTGGCAAAGCCTCTCTTTCAAAGACTCCCTATAAAAGTTCTTTATAATAAACAGCTACTGGTCAGAATGAGCTACCCGATACCCCTGAGTCTCCTAAATCTAGCCTGAGGAGAAATAGAAAGGTAGGTAAGATCATCTGCACATACTTACTTTTATTATCTTAGAAGCATTTTGGTCAGAAATGGTTCTTAAATTTTTCACCTTACATTTCATAGGGATAGCTGTCTTATTTCAATGTGAGGAACGTCTTCATGTGCTACAATTAAGAATTTCAAAGTGCTATTTAAAAAGTGACATTAAAAAAAAATAAACGGGGTCCTAGAATAAATCATGGGAGTTCTTCAAATCAGAAGGACACTAATTGGAGGAAGAGAACTGCAATTAATGAAAGAAACTGATTCGGGACTTCTCAAGCTCTAGGCTGATTCTGCAAATCACAGAGCCTTCTTTTCCAGCAGTTTCGGATGAACTGTTGTGTTTTGCAGCAAGAAAATCAACAACCTCCTTTTTTGTGACACTGCAGTACTTAAAATGACATCTGGGTAGTCACTTTTTCATAGTGAGATGTTTTTGTTTTCTCCAGAATATTCAATATGTCTGTTTCCTCACTCTTCTTGCTTCAGCTCACTGTTGAAGATGTTGGAAAGGGACAGCTGACATGCACATGTACACCATGCTTAGCTGTATTTAGTATCATTGGGGAAATGCACCCTCTTTTTGTAAAAAAATTGACAAGGAAGCAGTCTTGGAAGCACGATTTCTGCTGCCTGTATAGAAAGGAAAGAGACAGCTTGCTTTATACATGTTCCAATTTTCTTGTGTTATTTTTTTCACCCATACCGTCCTAACTAGGTTTTCTGGCAAACTCTATCCAATGCTATTCAGATAATCTGACTTTGCATATAGAAGGCCCTAGGTTCAGTTCCTGGTAGTGCTGAAAATCTTGATAAGACAATGATGAAATAAATGGCCAGATTTATTATATTGCAGATTCTTCTATGAAGATGAGCCTATGTTTGAACCAGTTGAATTAATGAATTGCTGAGAATGTTTACACCAAATTAGATTTTAATCTGGATCACAGAAACTACAATTCTCTTGCTTTTGCTCAGGTTCCTCTAAATCCCATAGGATAAAAACTGTATCAGAATACTTCTGCAAATAAAAAGGGTAATTGTTGGCCTCTCCTTTGAGAAACAAACATGAGGACTGCACACCTGGTCTATTCACTGTGTTGCTAATCCAGAAAGAGAACACAGTTTCATTCCTGATTAGGTGCCAAAAGATTATACTTTTCTTTCTCTTTCTCTTTCCCATTTACTGTTTAATCTTATAGGATGGGCAGCTATTACAAAATACTGGGATGAAGCATTCCAATAACAATATCAGAGAAAATGTATCATAATACATTTTAGTAATTATTATGCTCCAGTACTCCATATTTAAATTGTTGTGTTTCTTTTAATTAATCAGTTTTCTTCCCCAAACCTTTAAAAATTCTTAAAAAGATTTTGTTGTAGAAGGAAAGTACAAATCTAATAAAGAAAAGAGGAAAGAAAGGAAAAAGATAATAAAGTGCAAAGGAAAAAAAAAAGAGCTCCAACTTTTTCAACAGATATTAACAAAGCCATCATTTCTCCTTCCTCTTAACTATTCGAGAAATCCAATCTTTTCCCCTAATCTGAGGACTTCTAAATACACTAGATTTTCCAGACAAGGTTTTTCAGACTTTTTAACCATTGCCTCATTCCCAGTGCTGGGAGAAAGCGACTGGCCCAAGATTACCCAACTGGCTTTATGTCTAAGGGGTCTAGAATCTCCCAATCTCTTTCCCTCAGTCCTGGGAAGGAAACAATGGCAAACTACTTTTGAAAACTCTTGCCCAGAAAACTGCAGGGACTTGTTCCACAAAATGGACAGGATTGAATAGAAGAACACCCCCCCCCTCCTCAAGGCAAATAGTAGCTTAGATAAATAATTTGGAAACTGGTGTGAAGGACAGTCTCTTTCTTACCCAGCATTGCAATCCCAGCCTGATTTAGGGGGATCCGCTAAAGCAGCGGTCACCAACTGGTGGTCTGTGGACCACTGATGGTCCACGAGAAAATTCTGGTTGTCCACAGAAAAATTATTTGCATTTTTTATATTGCACTAAATCAGGGTCCTCAAACTACGGCCCTTGGGACAGATACGTGCAATGAATGTTTGTGTTGCTGCAGAGAGTCTCTCCCTTCGTGGTCTTTTTGTGTGGGTCGGAGGGGGACAGAAATTCTGACTTGGGGTCTGCTTCGACCTCTTGGTGCAGGGCTTTGGGCAAAGGCTGGAGGGAAGTGTCGCTGGTGGCAAAGAGCCGGAGGACTTTGTTCCAGTGGGACTGCATCATGGCCTGGAACTGGCTGACCATCTTAGCCTGCTGAGCCTCCAGGCGCCTGTACCTGGCCTTGCACTCCTGCAGGTCTTCCCTCTGCTTGGAAAGCCTATGCTTGTAGTCCTCAGTGAGGTGCTTCTAGTGAGCCTCCTTTTCGGTCAGATCCAATTTGAACTGAATTGTTTCACCAACTCTTTCTCTTGATGGCTGCTTAGCTCCAACAACTGCTTCCTGTTGGGGCCCTAAGGAGCCTGGGCGGAGAGGCAAGGAGTGGCTGGGAGGGGAGGGGTTAGTAGAGGCTGGCGAAGTGCCTCTCGACGTGAGTGACATCGATTTGGCCACGCCCACCCAGTCACATGATCACCTAGCCACACTTACCCAGCCGGTCATTAGGCAGATCATAGTCGTCCGCGGGATTTAAAATTATGAATTTAGTGGTCCCTGAGGTCTGAAAGGTTGGTGACCCCTGAGCTAAAGCAGCTCTTATCTTTGAGGGTGGGTGAAGGGGAGAGAGTTCTGAGGAGTAGTGATTGCTTTATTTATTTATCTGGGAGGGCACTAATATAAACCGATACACAGCAAATGAGAAACTTATCCTTCCCTGCATGGAGAAGTGCTTCATTCCTAAACATCAATTGGCAATCCTATATTTAGGATCTCCTCAATCTTTCAGTTAAGCATCCTTTCCCTTTAAGATCCAGAATAACGCTAAAGCAGGGCCACCTTTTGGGCCCCAGGGACCGGTTCTGTGGAGGGAGATTTTTCTGTGGACCAGAGAGGGTATGGTTTTGCATGCTACCTGCATCCCGCGGATGGGCCTTTGCTTGTTTGCGCAGCCCAGTGTCTGGAATGCTGTGGGCCGATGCCAGTCCGCAGACCAGGGGTTGGGGACCCCTGCCCTAAAGTATTTATCAATTTTTCTGGCAATGGTAGGTCATCAGCTTGATATGGAGCAGG